CATTCTGAGATAACAAAAACTCACTTCTTATTTTCAGATGATTACACACTTCAGAAAACATGCCAATTATAGAACTATTATATTCTATTTCTGTCAATATATCCCCCTAAATCCCACACACTGAACCTTTAAACCAGGAGCTAATCAGAAATATTTCCTCCCATTTTCTGAGAACTTCATTTCTTTGAAGAGCATTTATAGTGGTAATCGTTCATTTAAAATACCAGAGGGTCCTCTTTGATGTGATTATAGGTAGTTGGTTCATTGACGCTGCAGCTCATCCACCATTGTAGCTATAATCACATTAAAGACCACCCTGTTTAGTGGTTTTATCAGGAACAGTGGAAAGGAAGGAAAAGAACAAAAGACTTACAGACACAAGGGCCTCTGTAACACTGGTGAGCACAGCTGGACGCAGGGAATGAACCAGGATCTTGTGCTCTGTGACAGCCAGCACCAGCAGAGTGGCTGCGTTCTTCGGGCCCAGATTCAGGAGTAACGTGGAGAGGCTTCCACCACTGGACACACAAATGGACCAAATTAAGACTGAAGCAAATACAGCATGTCTTTATGTTTTGCATTTCACTGATGTGTCTCTACCTGAGAGGCAGCGGAGAGGACACAGGCTGGCTCAGTATCAGGCTGTCGTGCGGAGACAGCTGTGGAAGCAACACAGGAGAGCGTTAGAGCATTAGAGCGTCAGTGGGTGGAGGATTTAGCTCATGACTACAGCGTGGTTAAAGAAATTCCTGTCAAACCAGATAAAGCAGCCATGCAGAACTGAGGTCATTACTTCACTCATGAAATTTCACATTTTAAGCTTACCTGCACTAGGATGCGTGGTCTCTGAGTGGAAGGGAATGGCACATTTTGCATGAAGTGAGAGATGTGCCTGTGGGTAAAAAAGAACCACTTAAAAAGGCAGTAAGGGCAAGACTAAGAATAGACTTTAAACTTTAAACCAGAGAGGATGGGTCTGTAAAACATTGCTAACTTTTCAATAGGCAGGGCATGTGGTCCAGAGATGGAGTATCGGTAGAGGAAAGTAAGAAAGCTTCTGAAGGACTGGAAGAAGGGCCAGTGGGAGAGCAGACAGATGCTCTTGTTGCTGTAAACACTCCTGGTCCCATCGGGTCCAAGATCAGAGCTTGGCAGGCCGAGCTGCGAGCGCTGACGCTCAGACAGGTTCTCCTCTGAGTAAGGCTCATAGAACTGGATGGCTGCTCCGTAAACCTGCAAGCAAAAGGATCACAATATCAGTGTGATGATCTGCATAAAGAATATCCAGGAGTACACGCACAAACATCCTGAAGCAACTTAACAAAGACACAAAGCACAGTCGTCCTTATTCACTTATTCAGGTAAGCTGTTGTGGCAGCTCCACTGGAGAATTTTCATCATAATAAATCGGCTAAATCACACTCAGTCCTTTGAAGTTGTTCCTCCCAAATAGATAAACAAATCATACCAGGCATAGAGTGCCAGGAGACTAGTCTGCAGACTAGAGGTTGCAGGCAAGGAGTGAGCACTGAGGCATTCAGCATTTAAAACTTATGTACCAGCCCAAGTGGCGCATGAGCTATCCATTATTCAAAAGATGAGCTGCAAAAAAAATCTTTCATGCTGCATTGCTTTCAAAGACTTAAAGCCTTTTAGTATTCCAAACACAGCCTTTGGACCATTTTTGATTCCAGTCAGAGTTTAGAGGTTGATTAAGATTGTCTGGTATTCCTAGAAAAACCACTGCAGTTCATCAACAAACTAATTCATAAGGGATCCTAATGCACAGAGAGAGAGACGGAGGGGGGATAAAGATGGAGAGGCTGGCTGAAATTAGGCAATTAAGGGAGAATTTATGTATTTAAGGGCAGAAAACTGATGCCAACTTTGGGAGAACTGCCTAATTAATGATGATGTAAATGAAAGTTAGCAGGACTCTGAACAGAGTGGTGGTTTCCTTGGCAAAATCAGTGGGCATGCTGTAGGCTTGTTTGTGTTTTGCAAATGCACAAAAAGGCAAGTGATTATGAAAGATTATAAGAAACAACATGGTTTTCCGTAAGGCTAATTTAAGGAAGGGGTTTTACCTTTTCTCCAGAGGCACCCGTCAGGACAAATGTGGAAAAAACAGGCAGGGAGTGTTTGGTGTGTGCTGGCCAGCACTCGACTGTTGCCCCCATAGGCAGGCAGAACATAGGCACAGACTCAGGCAGTGGGAAGGACTCGTAGTCCTCTTCAGGATACCTACACAGCAGACCTGCACAAATGCACACAAGCACAGTCATTAATTTACGGTCACCTTGTTTAAAACTGACATTCCCTCAATCTGATTATGTATTTGAGCCTTCTGAATTTGGTTTAGCTCATAATAGAGATTCTGCACACCGCTTTACCTGCTTTGTATGCGATTGTGTTTGTTTTAGCCAGAGACTTCTTATAACAAAGGTAGACTGAGGATCCCCACTGGAATATGAGAAGAGACATCACAGATCAGTCAAAACCTGCATTACTATACAGACACACTAGAAATATAACAGTGTTCTCAGAGCTCTTTCCCACCATGCTGCTGTTGAGATTCTTGTCCACCTTGCAGAAGGTGTGAGGGGGCGTCTCGCCCTTGCCGGGGATGATGACGCAGACATCAGTGACAGCCAGTGAGGTATGGGGTTGACTCTTCGGTGCACGGCGGTAGGTGATGTAGATGCGCTGGGATGACGAGTTGCTGATGTTGGCAGGGCGACCTGAGGGGGTGGTCTGGACGATGTGACATCCAGGTTTCAGCTTCTCTTTCCACTCATACAGAACCCTGAGGCACAAGGCAGTGTTAAGTGGTGTGTATATGATCCTTTTGTAACAAGACTTTCTTGGGAAATATTACTGGAGTGCTCTGATAATGTATTCATTGAAGAGATGTCAGAGTAGAGGATGTGTTTAAGAGCAGATTATAGTGACCCAAGGCAGAGAAGTGATTAGTGGTGCTGGGTGAGTAAAGGGTCAGTGACTGAGGATTACTGCTTACCCAAGATCTGTCAGTGGAGGCTTATCTCTGCCTCGCTTGAAGCACAAGAATATCTGTGGGCCCCTGAGGCTGGCTCCATTGAGCTCTGCAGAGAGGCCTGAGGGGGTGCTTTCAACACAGGTGAACCCCGGGGGTACTTCTTCACCCAGGGAGCGAATCACCACAGCTACGTCAGTGATAGGGGCTTTTGGTTTCACAGACTTGGGACCGGCATCATCAAAGTGGAGCTCCTCCTCCAAAGGCTTGGATGAGTCGGTGAGGCCGGCAACCACAAAGTAGTCGGCTACACGAGGCCCTTTATCCTCCATCATTTCCCATTCCCACACTGTGGGCTGAAAAGAGAAGAGGACAGGGGGGAGGGCTTTCATTATGCATTTTAATCATATTGCTAAAAGCTTAAAAACAAGAGAAAATGGGCCTTTGCCACCAGGAAATGACCTGGCTGAGCAGAATATCCTGGCAAAAACAGCATCATCTTTAAAATCAGTCTCTGAGCACACTGTAATTATCGTCCTGCTACTCCAATTGTTGCGTTAAACACAGATTTACAGACTCCATGCAGCATGTAAAGTAGACATAACCTATATTACAAATGCATACCATACTGAAGAAACAACAAAATATAATGAGAGCATCTGGAAGCATTTAGTGTGCATTCCTCTCTGCAAAAACACCATATTTCAACAAGAAATATGGGAGGGTTTAAGACCAATGACCTTGGTATATGCCATGACCGATTATGTAAAATAAAACACATGCCTTTGTAGAAAAAAAGAAAGAAAAATGTGCAGAGAGGAAAAGTACCAGAACTATAAGCGTGCATTGGGAAATGAAGACAGGGTTCACTGAAGTGCAGCAAAGAGCTTTTTCGAAGCTCTCAGCGAGGTAATATTCAGACGACATATATTCTGCGCTCAACAATGTCGTGTAAAAGAAAAGAATAGAGGGAGCGCCTGTGAGTCAGCTTGTTATAGCTTTATCACAAAGCACTGAGCCCTGGAAGCCCTCTCAGCACTGGGGCAGCTCATTGTGCTTCAGCTGAAGAGCCTGCTTTATCTCTCACAGCAGTTCCTCCACACTCGCTGGCAAACTGATAAACAGCTGCCTATTATTTCTCCCACTGGGATGTGAAGGAGTTAGCATAAAGTTAGTCGCCTCGTCTGCATTGGATGTATCACTACTAGGGACCATGGCACACAAGAAGCTGTGACCATATCTCACCCACTCAGGACTTTGGCTTCCACTGGCTTTAAAGCTAATGGATCTGTGTCCCATTCCCTCGTGTGGCCGACTGATGGGGCAGAACGCTAAGCACTGCTTACAGGCTTAGGGCATGGAATGCACCGCTAACATGAGAACATGGAAAAAGTGGGATGATCTATAGCGGCAAGCACGTTTCTGAGCCTACCAGAAACCATAAGACCATCCAAAAGAAATGCCCCACCAAAGTTCTGTCATATATATTTCCTGTTGCATAAGTTGTCTTTTAAAATTCTGACTCATCATCACAAGGTTGCTCACGGTCTTGCAGTGTTTTGGCCTCCATGTGTTTATGAGTGTTTTCCCGATTAGCTGGCGGCTGTTTTGTTGCCAGTTATTTGTGCTCTGCAGTGTTGAGCCTTGTGGGCATTGCCAATGACTCAGCATGCCAAACTGCAAGAAAAGTTTTCATCTTTTCCTAATTTCATTCAATACTGCATTTAATTAGATGACAAACTATGCATGTATATATTGCAGCTGCACTTACAAAAGACAGGACTTGTTTTTCTCATGCAGCTTTTGTTCACTCAGGTTTTCAAAATTGATTAAAATGATGGCATGAGCTGTAGAATCGAATTTGGGAAAAACAAAAAGGTCCAGGAATTGAAACGCTTTCAAGATGTTATTTTCACAATAGATGCACATTTAAAGTGGCTGCTTAGCTATGCTCTTTCTCCACATTGCTCCACTGGTTCCACTTTTCTAGCACTGTGATGAGTGGCACCAAAAAGCAAAACTTTTGCACGCTTCAGGGTCAACAGGGGCACAGGAGAAGACCATGGGCCTGACAATCATAGAACAAAGAACTCCTGAACACTGTGTGCTACACTTGCAATAATAGTACATTTAATCAGGATATCTTACAAGACAGTGGGAGAAATGGCTTGAATGGACCAATCAGATCTTATTGCAGACTGAAGTCACTCATTAAGACAAGTGTCACAATAATCACTTTTTTCTTTGCGTATCCGATGGATTACTTCAGTGGTTTCCACCTGGTGGGTTGTGGTCCACAATTGCATCATGGGTCCATTCTGATGGACCGCAAGTGACTTGCAAACATGTCAAGTTTGTAAAAAAACACACCTTTTTTTCTAAGTACATTGAGTTTCCAGCACAGTGCTTGTATTCTGAAGTGCTGTTTTCTACTGTCGAGTGAGTGACTAATCAACACCTACTTAACAGAGACAGCAAACTAGCTCAACGACGTGGCTAAAAGCAAGTATGATGCTGAATAGATTCAACTCTGTGGACCTTGATCTAATGACTAAGGAGACATCTGAACCTTGTGGCGAGATCACTTGGGAACCACTGGATTAGTTTATTGGGTTATTATAGGGCCTTTTTGACAGCAGATAATGTCTGCAAATATACCACATCTGAGATTGTTGTCCTACCTGAATCGCCCATATATGTAGTACAGAATTGGCAAGTATGATTTTGAGGCGGCATACTATTCAGAATCCCAACTGGTACAGCCACAGCGTCCAGATTTCTCCTTAGTCATTAGTTCAAGGTCCACACAGTTGAGTATATTCAGTGGTATACTTGTGTTTGGCTACGTCATCAAGCTAGGTTGCTGTCTCTGTCAGTTGCTGTTGATTAGTCACTCACTCTACAGCAGAAAATTACACTTCAAAAAAGCTCTCTGCTGAAAAGTACTGCACTTAAAAATAAAGGGTGTTTTTTTTCCACTTGTGGTCCATTCTGACTGCTCCCATGACCCCATTTTGGACCACAACCCACTAGTTGGGAACCACTTTGCTCGAATGTTAAGCTTCCACCAGGCTGCTCATAAACACAGTGATTATGGTAAAGAATGAAAATCAAGAAGGATATTTTTTGTTATACGTTTACGATCCATATTATTTAGTGACCTAACAGCCAAAGAAAGTTGATCATTTTTCAGTGGCTCCACCTCTTTTTTAACATGACACAACACTTAAGCCAGTCCGTAAATCACCTGCTCTAAATGGTGTTACGTGAATGATCCTAAATATGTACAGCCGATGCCATGGCAGATGTGTCGTATAATACTTGGAAGGTTCTGGATTAAATATAGATGTAATCTCCAGTTCCAACCACAGTGCATCCACTGCGTCTATTCCTCCCACTCAACAGGACGTAGAGGCCTAAAATTATATCTAATCCTCACCATAGCAACAAGATTGAAAGTGAACGCTGAACTGAAAGACTGAACGTTTCTCACTCTGATGCTGAAACAAGTTGGAAACATTGCTCTAGTTGAATACAACTCGGCTAATGGCCTGTGTCTGTACCACAGATGTACTCTGTTCAGAGAGTGTCTGAGACAGAGTGTAAAATGTGAAACAAAAAATGAACTAAAGCATTCGTTTTGTCTCTCATATTGTTTTCTTTTTGTTCTTACCTGGCAGCTCATCTCACAGTCTTTCCCTGGCAATGTGTTTGTGAATTTCCACTTTGTTTTCCATTAGTGTCTAAGGTTGATGTTACTGGGCAGGCCGCACTAGATCAGACGATTAGTTACGAGCCCTTTGCTGTCATGTGTTCTGTGCTTCCATTTGTTTGTTTGCACACAGTGTTGCATCACTTTGATTGTTCAGTACATCAGTCTAGAAAGACTTCTAAAATCCTGTGAGACCTGCTTCAGTGGCAAAAAAAAGCCTATAAATAAACCTGGCTCCAATACACATGATATTTCATTTTCCACATAATTTCAACTCTCCTCCTACTACCTCACTTATTGCAGGCAATCCTGTGTTCGCCCAGGACTGGAAGTGAGTCACACGCGGTCTCCCCAGAAACTGCAATTTTTTTCATTCACCACAGCTTTCTTCATAAAAGCCACACAAATAAGGACATAGCGGATTTCCTCTTCTTACCAGGGAATGGGCCAACTTCCCTGTTCGCATCCACTATTGTTTTTATGAGTCACGTCCAATCAACAGCTTCGCAGAAATGACAGATTTGTCAGAAATTTGTTTACCACTTGGGCAGCAGATTTTCCCCACACAGTCTGAGAACGTCACACCTCACATTTTGTATCTGCCAGCCCCAGGACTTCATTTAAAATACTGCAATATGCCTTTAGTGGGTGCACCATTGATAAAAACTGTTCATCACTTTATACTATTTTCCTTGGAGCTGTCATATTTGGTATGTAGGGAAACCTTTGAGTCTTGACTGTAATCTAAAACACACTTTTCTGGATTTTTATCACTACTTGTCCACACAGAACTAGTTTGTAAAGACAGAACTGCCAAGTGGAATTTTGACAAAATTACAAATAATGGTACAAATAATAGTTGTTTAAAACTTGAACTGTGACAGAATATGTCAAAATGCTGGCTGGAATAAGATTAAACAACATATTGGAGCTATGATGGGAGCTTTTATCATTTTTTCATCCACGCCGTTTGATATTTCTTGCAAGGAACATTTATTTTTCAACATTTTCCTCCTCACAGTAAGGCAGGATTTTGACATGAAACCGTCAAAAATAATTGACCCTCTCTCCACACTGCATGTAATTTTGTGATGTGAAATAAAGGCCTTTTGACTTTTGCTTTGAGCACCACAGTGTTGTTATAATTACGGCCCCAGAGACAGAAGCAGCCGCTGCTGGACAGTCAGTCTCAGGCTGTGCAAGGATTAGAGGGCTGTGTTAACAGCAGGAGGGCAGGGAGGATGGGCAGTCTGATCTGGGGAGGGAACCACCACAACATTTCACTCAGCATCTGTTCCCTCTTAGCCATGAAGACAACCCTCACCCTCATCAGCCATTTGCATTCCTTATGTTTGACAGGGGGGTACCCTGGCTGCTTGACGAGGAAACCACACACGCCCAAGATAAATAGAGCAGAAAGATGAAGGAGAAAAATACTCTGAGGTGGTGCTGGAAAAATACTAAGGAACCCTGCATGATAAGCTTGCAACGCTTGCATTTTGTGCATAGGGAATATTTGGTTTAGCTCACCACAAAGCCAGCAAATGTTCCTTTGAAAAACACAACTGACCATAGCAACCACAATAGTACAGAGGGGGTTTCTCATATGCCCACACCACAAGGAGCCATCTTATGGAGCATCTACTCGGGATGCAATAAAATAAGCCTCCATATGACTTCTTTGTAACCAATGGGCGCACTGTAAATACTGGGAATCACGCACAGGCTGCGATGCTCACTATTAAAGCATTCAGTTACGCTTGTGATGCATCCAGCAAGACGACAATATTATTATATAACATATTATCCTTGTCGGTCAATTGTCCTAATAAACCACCCGACATCAAAATAACAGGTTACATCAAAGGTTTCCGTTTGTAGCGCTCACACACACAATCACGAATAAGAACACAACATGTAAAAATAAAATAAACACGTGAAACAGCTGAATTATAAAAACTGGGTGTGTGGGCGTCGTTTGTTTTTATTCTCATTAAAAGAAGAATCTACTCACATCTCGATTGAAAGATGATCTGTCGAGTATGAGTCGAGACAAAAACCGAGATTTCTGTTGATTAGAAATATTATTCCTCAGTGCTGGCTCCGTCTGTTTGTTTTTATTTTACCTCTGTCTAAATTTGTTATTATAAAAAAATAATAATTCACACTGGGATGGACGAACCCGAATAGCCTGTGTAGTCCCGAGCAGCGCTTTATCCAGACCTGCGCGGCTCACGTGACTGATTACAACCATCGTTGACGTCACTGATGACACTATTATCAACGTCTGAAGCTGTGAGGAAACAACATTTGGACTGATGTGCAAGTTTACACTGAAGTGCAGTAACTGAGCACAGGAAGAGTAAAAAGTAAAGCCTGTGGTAGTAATAATAATAACACTTAAATATTATTGCTATTATTATTAATATAAATGTTATAAATTCCATCTTACTTGAGAATAATAATATTATCAGCATTTTATATTTAATTTGTGCAGCTGCCTGTTTAATTACATTTTCTTTGGCCATAGAAATGAAAATCTTTGTACTAGGGTTGCAACATATGTCTAATAATAACTTATAATTGATTAATCTGACAATTATTTTCGCACTTAATTGCTTTGTCTGTAAAATTCAAGCGTGAAATAGGCCTGTTATAATTTCCCACGGTCCAAAGTGATGTCTTCAAATGTCTTGTTTTGTTCAGCTGATGGTTCAAAACCAAAATTGTATTAAATTTACTGTCATCAGTGACAAAAAGAACCATATCCTCACATCTTAGAAGCTTTTTTTAACATAAAAAACATGATTTTTCGGTTATCATAACAGTTATTGATCAGTTTTCAATCATTTGTCTGATTAAGTGTTTCAGCTTTATTTTGAAGCCTTCTCCCGCACAAGTTCTGATTGGTTTTTGGTGACCCAATAATAAATAACACTGCAGTCAGACTATTAAATATCCCACCAAGTGTTACTTTGTTATTCTATAATGTAAACACGCCCAGATCACAAACTTCCCCTAAAGTTCCAGTAAAAGTAGAGGACATGAGCATAGTGTTTTCAATGGTAGCTAAGATACTGTTTGATTTAATAATAATAATAATAATATTGCTTATAATAAATGACTTAATATGATGGTGCCAGGGGTATATTATGGACCGAGCCTACCAGGCCAAGGTCCAGGGGCCTAAGGGCTCTGGAGTCCCCTCTGTCAGAGCCTCTGTGCGACGTTGTTATCATTAACTTTGTATTTTTGTCAAAGACTTCAGTCATGATGTCAGAGCTCCTTTCTATCTATCTTTCTGCCCAAACAACATGCACATGCTTATTGTAATTGGTCTCCAAATCCCTGCTCTGGGACAATGAAGAAAGATTTATGATTGGCATCTACAGCATGCAAGTAGCAGAATCCTCCCAACATTACTGAAATGATTTAGTAATGTGGTGGTCTCATCTGTGAAATGTAAGAGGTACAGAGCATAAGAAATACAACTAAACTTTCACATAAACCTCTTTGTTAGTTGCAGTCAATAAACCCAGCATGACTCATGGTTGGATCGGTGCACAGTGCCTGTGGCCAGAGGCAACATGGCCTATTGTCTTGCCCTCTACTGCCCTTGTGTGGTGATCACCAAGACATACAGTTCTGATGAAATTTACAAATGACCATATTTGTATACCGGAAGATCGCAGACAGCTTGGAAATAGTCCTGCTCTGTCTCCAGAGATTCTGCTGTGTCATCTCTAGTGCTGTGGTTATATTTTTATGATATGAAATCAGCATCATATTGACACTGCAGGTTTGTGGTCATGACAATCGCTAAGTAAAAGATAGAGATTTAAAGAGATGTAAGTGGAATGAAGCTATGAATCATGACCCCACTTTTCAAATGCTTACCTTTGTTCCATTTCAGTTGATAAGTTCTGGTTGAATAAAGAAAAGTATGAAAAATATGAGCCCAAGAAATTAACAGGAGAGTCTGAATGACAGCTTGAATACTCCAAATTGATTGCCTAGTCAGCAGCAACAGACAGTGTCTAGGCTTTTCCATTTGTCTGTGTGAGACTGAATCATACACAGATTGAAAGCCCCTGACTCGAGTCTATATCTGTGCAGAAAGAGAAATCATCATCTGAGGCTTACTCATCAGACAGAGATGTCACCTGGGATTTCAGATGCAAAGGTGTTCACAGGAAGTGAGACAAGGTGATAGACAGGTCCAATCTCTGACGCTACAAAGATTTATATGGGGTTTACACTATTTGCTCATCATGCGCAGGGGTGTGCTTTGCTTTTATACTTTACAGAAATGTCCCAACATCCCACTTGATCTCACATCCAGTCAGACAGGCCTCCAAATCTACCTTGATAGTGGTGTCTGGAAAATGAAGTCATAAGTTTGTCTTGGGTGCATTGGTACAATAGACAAACAAGAAGGGACGGCAGAGGAGGTATCTGCACACCAATGTAACTGGGCTAGAAAGACACAAAGAGATCCACGCTGATAAATGCAAAAAAATTTTAAGATAGAAAAAGGTGCTCAAGTGCAAAAAATGATAAAGAATGCATAAAAGAGGAGCAAATATTTCAGTCCTTGACTATCATCAGTGCTACTTACATGAGTGCTTCACAGAACAGATAAAGACACAGACAGATTACTTCTCAGTGTTAAATCAATCAGCTGGTGCCACTAATTAGATAAGAGCGACTCTGAGAACAGAAGCCTGACTACCAAATCACAATGACCTGTCATATGTCTCTATTAAAAACAACCTCAAACACCAATATATGATGGCAGACCGTTAGAAAATCCAAATGTGGAAATGGAAATCTGTATCTTTTTGCTCCCGTGTATCATTTGTGATATTCCAAGACTTTTATGATTGTACCATTGCTTTAAATGCAAAACTATTGGGTCTGTGTGGTGAATCAGGTTCAGTTTTGACCAAGATAGCAATTCAGCAGAGGTCTCCAAATCTACCACAATAATGTTGTCTGAATAAACAAATAAATAAACTCAAGAAAGGAGCAATTTGTTTATTTGATGTGTATCTCCATTAGCTGACAGCTGTCACATTTGAATGGAGTGTTCTTCTCTTCCATCATGTCAAGATCAGAATGATTTTGTGCCAAAATAACAAATAATCTGCAACTAAAAGACATCACATTTTGGGTGACATCGTGATGTAATGCTTAGCACTGTCGCCACACAGCAAGAGGGTTCAGGATTCGAGCCCATCATCTACTTTGGGGCCTTCTGTGAGGATGTTCACCAGCTTCCTCCCACAGTCCAAAGACATGCAGGTTAATTGGTGACTCTAAATTGTCCATAAGTGTGAATGTGAGTATGAATGGTTGTGAATGGATGTGTCAGCCTTGTGATAGTCTGGCGACCTGTCCAAGGTGTACCTTGCCTCTTTCACAATGTCAGCTGGAACAGGCTCCAGTCCCCCCTGTGACTCTGAAGCACTTACACATAATGGATGGATAAAAATCACATTTGATGTTACTGAAAAAGAGACCGCAGCTTAACTGAGAAGCTAGATAAATAATTTGAAGGTATATGAAAAATGAAGGGCTGCCTGCCTTTCTATACGACCTAAAAGACCAGTCTGTCTTACAACAATATTCACTTTACAGCATTCCCTCCTAAAGCACTTCCAGTGTAGGCGATGAGGGACAATTCTGTGCAAATGCCATGCAAAAGTACATTCAAAAGTCTATCTGAAGGTAATATAAAGTCAGACAAATCAGGTGGGAATGTTCCAGCGTTAAAGTCTTTTTCCTTCTTTGTGTTTCCCAGGACAGTTTTTCTTTGCCAAGCTGCACTGGAGGGGTAAAAACACAAAGAGGGAATTTTGTACCGAAAAGACTTGATTCATCTCACTCTGACAGTTGAAGCTTCATATTCACTTCACATAAACTTTTAAATACACTATTGCATGAAATGAGGGGTGTGTTTTGTCCCCCAGCACTTACACTAGAAGCAGGTTAATAAGAGAGCTCTAATGAAGAGGGGGAAAGATTACAGCAAGAAAAGGTGTTTCAAATTGGATTTGGGCAGCTGATACTTTTTTAAGACAGGTGATTATACCAATATTTAGTCATTCATGATCTCTGACTTCCTATAGTAAGTGCAAAATATTCTGCATTGGTTTTGATCTAAAACATGAGCAATGATGTGACTACCCCTGCAGAAACATGAATATATGACACATCATTTGACTAGTTTTGATCTCGCTCAAGAGCTGGAGATCTTCTGTAGGCGTTTCACTCCATCACATAACAAGGAGGAGAATACAGATGAAGCCTCTGATGAAGGCTTGTCAATACTTGTGCTGTCAAAAAGGGGGAAACAATGCATCCATGGCAACAGCCCTTTTTGAAAATACAGAGTGCCAATTGCGAAGGAAAGAAGGACCAGTTAAACAGGGTAATCTGAACAGTCTGAGCCTCCTTCTCAAACATGTGACAGACGGAGAGAGGGAGTTTTTACAGGAACATCATCTTCTGTTCTCACGCAGGATATTCACAAGGGGCTACATGGAAGAAGGAAGAACCAGTTGTGTTGGGGGTTATTCTGAGATTTAAAATCAGACCAATACTGGACCAGGGGTCTCATCTAAAAACATTGTGTACGCACAAAATCACGCCTGAAAGAGGTGTACGCCACTTCCCACGCAAAACTTGTGATCTATAAAAACAGAATTGATGGGGGAAACTTTTACTTATGCTTACTAACATGTTGGAGACATATTTTTGGTGCACGCCATTTTTGGCTTTTGTCCATATGTACATTTTTAGTATGGATCCTACACATTGTTTTATGAATGAGACCCCAGGGGTGTAAATATAGACAGTGCAGGCAGGGCGATTGCACTGGGGCACCTGTGGTGGAGGGGCCTGTGGAGAGAGCGGGCCCTTGCAAGTGATTGCTGGGTAACTTTATTTGTACAGTAAATACAATTTGTCATCTTTGAGGTGTGAGCCAACCTGTCATTAGTTATGATTTATATAACTCTATGAATTATACATAAAGATTTAGTCAGTATCCTCGCTGAAAAATACAGCTAAATAAACCTTATTATGGGGACTACACCATGAATCGTATGAGTCTATTGTTGATGGTAATGACATGGTCAAGAAGAATCAAAAAATGACTTTTAAACTGTTGAAATGAGCTCCAATAAAGCTGCTGAACATTTATCAGTTAGTC